GGAAGCTATAGTTCTTGGAAGAAGCAAAATTGTGGTAAGTAAACCTGCATTTCATGATATTTTGATATTTTTACTCCTGAGCACCCCTCAAGGTAATTGTTATATTAAGATTTTTCACTGTGACCTGTTAGTCATCATCTGAACCGTAAAAATCTATTGCCAGCTATACTTGACCAACCCTTTTACTCCCAAGATCTAGTTGTCAATTCTCCCCTCTAGCTGCTACATATTTCCTAGTAAATTGTTTGGAGAATTTAGTGTTCAATCAAGGTAACAACTTCTACTTGATAAGTTTGAGAATTCTCATTACCTGTTTGCTGGATCAGGTATGGATATTATGGGGAGAAGTTACATGTTGATTGCCTCTTGGAGTTAAAGGGTTAAAATGTGACTTCTACCCACAATATCCATACATTATTCCAGAACAGGTGATGAGAATGCCCAAAGTTGCTATCTTAAGCTAACCCCAAATTCTCATAATTTATATACAAGGAAATGTGAAGCAGCTAGAGGGGAAAATGAACAGTCAGACTTAAATGTGGAAGTTTGAGAGTTAATAGGGACTTTAAGCAGTCAGGATGGCAACGCCATGGAAGATGTCGATTGAAAAACGAGTTTCTACTTTTAGTTAGAATTTCTAACATGGCTGCATGAGTTTACCGTCTCATAGGGCGCCAGACCTCAAACTCAATATAACGCATAAATTAAAGTAGCGTTAAGTTCCAAATGTAAATTAAACTAATTATTTGCCGCCACGGTTTCGCTTTGCAGACGACACAAATTTTGGTGATTTCACGTAGTTGTTTTGCAAAGGATGGCTAAGAAATGTACAAAGTTTTAAAACGCACGTGCTGGGCTATTGTTCTGCCAATTAGATCTATTGTTTTTCCACGTTCTCGTTGCCGTAGCAGTCGTGGTTTGCTTAAAGTCCCTAATATATACAAGCGCTGTGCTCAGCTGGATAGTACATCATGTTATATTTCATCGCGTGTCGTCGTGATTTCAAGAAATTATCCATCGAACAGGTGCTGAGATTGGTAGACTCATCACCTGCAGGGGATAATCGTAGTATTATAATTTCAACTTCTACCTGATAAATTTTAGTATTCTCATTACCTGTCTGCTGGATAATCTATGGATATTATGGGGAGAAGTTTCATGTTAATCACTTCTTGGAGTGAAAGGGTTAAATAAGTAGTCTTTATTTCATGATCAACAGGGATCTCCTATGGCAGATCTTCTCAAGTGGCACAATGCTACGGTGACAACATGTCATTCAAAAACATAAGATTTGCCAGATGTGGTATGTCATTGGTTGTAACTGTTAAATAGTTGTGAATTTCTTAGCAGGTTCTGCCTTCAGAATGATTATTATTCTAGCATTTTGGGAGATACATGTATTTGAGTAGCTTCATTTGGATAGATATTGATGTTAAAATGAGAATAAAAATATTTATTTTCTGTCTTTGATCTTAATTCATAAACTAGCTGGGTAAAACAGGGATGTAGATAATAGCTGGAAGCGGGGAAAATTACTCGGCTGTGGACGCGATTTTTCCGGCTGTAAAGCACTACTTTTATCTCCAAAATGCTTTAAATGTTATCAGAAGATTGTTATTTATTTATTTCATTTGTTTACACCTTCATTGCTGTCTTACCTGAACTGAAAGGATTGTAAACACTCCATTTAGTGCGATGATCGCATCATTCGCATTGCATCACATCGTCCATTTTGCAGGCTCAATGGCAAGCGGTATTTGTTACTCGTGTATGTGAAATAATGAAGAAAAATACCCAAACCCAAATACCCGCCTATCATTGATAGATTCCCACGTGTTAAAAACTTTAGCTACATCCCTGTAAAATGGTTTGACAGCCTGGTTTCAAGTGACAATTACCTTAGATGTTGATGTTAAAATAAGAGTAAAAATATTTATTTTCTGTCTTTGATCTTAATTCGTGAACTAGCTGGGTAAAATGGTCTGACAGCCTGGCTTCAAGTGATAACCTTAGATGTTGATGTTAAAATAAGAGTAAAAATATTTATTTTCTGTCTTTGATCTTAATTCGTGAACTAGCTGGGTAA